TATGAGAGCAAGTTTATTGATTACAGATTCTTAGTGTTTCGTTTAGATGCTGCTAAACACATTTGTTACTAAATTCCAAAGGGGGTTCTTTCCTATCTGATATGGAAATAATTGTCTTAAACATGCCCTCTCTTTTTCTTTTATAACAGTAAATGTGACCGGTTATGATCTGAGGTGTGTTAGAAATGGTTTGGAGACACGGCTGCTTTTGTGTTTGAGGTGAACTTGGTGGATACCTTTTTCCTCCTTCCCTCTCTTTTACTTCTTCCCCACCAGCCCAGCAGCATGTTTCCAAACTGTACGAGCTATTTCACAAACCGTTTACATCCACAGCACATGGAGGGCAATTACGTGCCCGGTCCATTAGGCTTCTTTCCCTTCCATTGTGGGAGCTCGTGTCTGTGTAATGCCCTTTTGGGCAGCTGATGCAAGCAGCGAGGAGCTGACAGAGTTGAACTCAGCCTGGTGGTGTTGCTTAGTCGAGTGCAGGTGGGAATTTTTCAAGGTGTCCGAGCAACAGAAGGCTCTTAGGACTTCTTCAGCTCATTAATCGTGAGAAATAGGAAGCAGGATGTTACTTGGTTTGCTTTGAATGTTGTACCTTCAGAGTGGTTGAATTAAAGGAAAAAAAAAAAAAGATTGTTTAGGTGGAATAGATTCCTTACTGTTCATCCACTCCATCCTGCTACAGGACAGAGGCTGCTCAGCTTCATCCATTTATTTGACTCAAGTCAGTTATTTGGGATTTTTCTACACGTGTGCACCCCACAAAAACAAGCCAGGTATGTTGGGCAGGCGCATGGCCCTTCCAGACCTGTTCCTGACCTACATCCTCCGGGGGCTCAGGAAGCAATGAAATACAGGCTGCAAGTCATCGGTGGTAGGCACTGAGGAAAAAAGACCTGAGTGTGTTACACTTCAGAGGTGCCTTAAAGGACAGTGAGAAGTTCAGTGCTAAATTTACCCTCCTCTCCTAGTGAATGCAGGTGAGGCCTTTCAAAGGTGCTTTTTTGGGGAGGGTCATGTTCTTAGAGGACCTCGTGCTTCTCTGCATGTTCAGTGGGCTGAGCTGACTTCACCTTTTCTGCTGCCCTAAGGCTAGGCCAGCAACGTGTCCCGTTACGGGGAGGGTTTTTCGGCACTGCTTGGGGGAATGGGGAGCGCACGCTGCACGGGGGGCTGGCAGAGCTTGTGCTCAGCATCTGCTCTGCGGGCTCTTCAGAGACTTTTACTCTGAAAAAAAATAAAAGGTCCTTTCCTGGCATCCTGCCTCAGGGAGGGGTTCAACGGGTTCTCCTTCGAGCATCTAAAGCCCTGAGCCGTTTGGCTTTAGCATCTGGGTACAATTTGGTTACAGCCTTCCTGCAGTAAGGTTCGTCAGGCTTGGATCTTCAAGCCCCGTCTTCTTGCCAGGAAATTGCGAGAGGCAGTCAACAACAGCTTTCCAGCTGAAAGTACCTCATTTTGAGCACGGAGGTTTACTTCAGAACACCAAAAATCTGAAGAGCCGACAGCAAGCGGGGCGTTGCAGACAGCGCCGTGGGCTCGTGACCAGCACTTCCCCTTTCGTTCCACGTGAGAGCTCTGCGTTTAATTGTAAATAACTTCACGCCGACACAGAAACCAAGCACTGAACATTTGAAAAGGAGAAAACAGAATTATCACAGTATTCATTTGAGAGCGTTTAGGGAATATAAAATGAGAAGGAAACTGAGGCAGTGAAGCCCTATGCAGCGGCTGTACCGTTGTATAAAGAAATACACTAACGTAATTTGGTTAAGGGGCTTGATGGTCCCATTAAGCCTAAAATAACATTGCTTAGGTTTAAAATTAATTTAAATTACAGTAAACAGTAATTCATTACAGCAGTTGGATAAGAAACATTAGGTTAGGAAACAAATTCAATCGGCATTGCTAATAGTTTGCTTTTAGCTCCATTCAAGCGGTGCAGTGCCATTCTGTGTTACCCTTCAGGAATAATCCTTGGTGTTTAGTGAGGAGAGGAGAGATGTTGGGTGCTGCTGTCCCTGTTAGCAGGTGTTGTGGGTGTGCTGTATCTCTGGTTGTACTTCTGTTCCCACAGCCCCTCCAGCATTCTTTGTTGCTCCTGTGTTTCAAACAGTGAGGAAAGGCAAGCAGGTCGCTGGAGACAAGGTGGATCTCTTCCCTGACCTCCTGCAGTTTGGCAAATAAAGTCTGGCGGTGCCCCCACTCGTTAGCTACCAGGGGAAGAGCTGCTCTAAAGCCTTGAATCCTTGCTTTCTCTGTAGCTGTTGCAAGTAAAGAAATTCCCTCTGTTCCCTCTTTAAATGCAAAAAAAAATCCTTAAAAAATGAAGTTAGGAAGCCAAGTCTGGGTTGTTGGTTTTTAAAACAGCAACATTGGAACAGAAACTTTTTTTTTTCTCTTGCTTTTTAATGGGAAAGCTTTGTGCATGTTTTGTTGGAGAGGGATCTGGTCAGTACATCTCTCTTCTGATGTTTTTCTTTTGTGGCAATGTCTCTCTAGCCGCAGGCTGATTCAGCAAGACTTCGTCCAGCGGGAGCTGAGACAACAGGGAGCTGTGTGCCTACTGAAGGCAGCCACCATCTAAAAATGTTTGGAAAAGTACTTTAGGAAAAAAAGGAGATATTTGGTTCTCAGGATGTGGTCAGAGGTGTAGGCACACCTGTATAACTGTACGCAGTTGTGCTGTCTCGCTGAAAATCAGTAAGAGAAGAACTAGCTGTAGTGGTAAAAGCTTTTCTAACGCTTCCTCTTGTAGCAGTTTGGGGTATTGTGACATTACTGGTGCTTGCCCGGATGGTCTTCTTTTAGTTCCACCTCTGAAGAAACCTCCGTGTCCAGTATGTAAAATGAATATGCAGTAGTGAAGAGAAGTGTGCCCTCTGTGTTGTGCAGTGGATCATCTGTTTTCAGTTGCACTTGTTTTTTGCTGAGTTGCCTGAAGCCAGACATACTCAGCATGGATCAGCTGCAGTAGGCTTTGAGATTTTACAAATTCCCATGATCTTTCTGAAAGTTGTTTGTAAGCTGTGTAAAATACTTGGAAAAATGGCTTGACACTTATACCGTACCTCAGCACGTCCTTTTCAGTCTCCTTGCTGAGAAGCACGCTTCGTGAAAGTGCTCTGGGGATTCACAAATCCACCCTGGTTTGGGAAGGAGAGGTTGTCCGGGTGGAGCAGAGCTGGAGCTCCCCTGACTCACTCTGGGAGGCTTCCAGCAGGGTGAGGAGTGCTGTCAGCGATCCACAGCCACAAAAAGGATTTGCTTGTTAATTTGGGTTTCCTCTCCCGGTTGCAGTGGCTGCTAGCTTGACGCCTAAGCTACTTCTCTGGCACATGTAGTGGTTTCTCTGCATGCATGAGATGTTTCTCTCAGGCGTGGTCTCTGCACCACTTGAGAGCTGTTCTCTGCTCTCCTCCTCCGTCCCACAGGATGGATGTTTCCTTCCCAACACATCCCTTCTCTTTTCCCTAATTGTTGCGATCAATTCACCACTTAGGCTAATAGTACGGCGCTTCTGCTGTGTCCCCCAGTGCTCTGTGAGGAGAGGAACGAGAGCTGCTGTGCAAATGCCTCGTTCCTAGGGCAGCAAGCACCCTGCCACTCCGAGCCTGCTCCGGCAAGCCTGGGCTTACTTACCAAAGAGGCTCTACCTTTCCTGGAGAGACTGATGTTGAAACACTGGAATTGAAGAGAAATTAATAGCTGCTTGAATTATTAGCACTATTAAGGGCAAAATGCTGAAAAATGGAGGTTTCATATCCGCTGAGGTGGGGCAAAAATGACCTGTGCTTGAGAAGCAGGCTGAAAAGCGGAGAGGTGGGCGGCTGTCGGTGTGTAACACCAAACGCGATTCTCCAAGGTTAGACTCCTCTGCAGAAACACACACACATTGAATACAACACCCCTTACTGTTCAGGCTTCCTGCACCCCTCCCTTTCTGGGATTCAGTGCCAAAGCTTAAACCAAAATCTTTATGAATATGCAAATAAGAAACTACCCAAGCACACACAGCTGAGGGACTGCAGGCTTTCGTTTGGTTTTTGTTGTTTGTTTTTGTTTTTTTTTCCCCCAGTAGCAGCTGTGGTGGTTTGCCCAACCTTCACTTGGTCACATTATGGCCTGAAGTTTGGCTTAGAAAAAAAAAGGCACTGGTTGGTTTGCTGGGGGAATGGGAATTCACTTTGTCTTGCTGTGGGCAGGGTTTGTGTTTCCTACCGAGACTGTGCCGTGTAACCAGGGACGCCAAGCAGCTTTCATCCGTGGAGACATAATTGAAGATGCACATGTGCTTGGAATCCAGGAGTGGACTAATTGCATGTAGGGTTTACAGGCAATTTGTTGGCCTTATTGATCAGCTGACTGAAATATTGATGAGTAGCTGCTGTTTGTGTTTGCATTGCTGCCTAATGGAAGGATTAGCAAACTCATGTTCATCATCTTGAAAGTGTGCTCGCCCCGTCATACCCAAACACCAGGCGGTAAGGGTTTGTGCAAAGCATCTCTGGACGTTGGGGAATTACAGAGGGGATTTCAGGCTCTCTAATCTAGTTACAATACACATGTTGAAACAGCGCCTTTGACGCATGGTTTTTGCTGTGAACCATGCTGTCTTCATCTCAAGATGTTCTTTTGCCGTGCTGTGAACTTGCCCCATCGTTTTCCATTTTGGGAATGCTGCAGAGCTTTCTCTCTCTCTGCTGTGTTTCCTGGTACCACCACTTTGGTCTGTCTTCCCATGCCCACCTTGCACTATTTTCTGTGCACTATTTTACGTGCCCCGAGTTCAGACCGGGCAGTCTCATCCTCCACGCTGTACCCAAGTCACAAGCTGCAAAGACTTTTCAGCTTCTCAATCTAAGGAGTAAATTATAGTGTGTATATCCTGTGTTTATGCATTAAAATATAAACTGCTGAGCCGTGCTCACATGAATCATGGTAATATGAACTGATTGTACAATATATTCCTTAATTTTGTCTTCTCCCCGCAGGTCCAACAAGAACAAAGAAACCACACCGCAGAACCCGTAATAGATGATTATAAAAAGATGGGGACTCTCTTCGGCGAACTAAACAAAAGCCTTATCAGAATAGGCTTCACAAGGATGTACTTTGGAGAACGGATAGTAGAACCCGTAATTATTATATTCTTCTGGGTCATGCTCTGGTTCGTTGGCTTACAAGCTCTTGGACTAGTTGCTGTTCTGTGCCTTGTCATTATTTATGTACAGCAGTAAGGTTTTACAGATGCCTGTTGGATTATGTATTTAAACGCTGTCACTATCTCGGTGGATTTGTGAGTTTAAGTAAATGGGTGGCACATCAAAAGCTGCAAAGCTTTGAAATGTGTTTTGCTGAACTTCTGAGGTGTGGGATGGGGGTGAACTAAAATTATCAATTCAAAGCAAAGTCAGTAGTTCTGCTACAGCTTTGAAGGGCAAAAAATGAGCCGTTCTTCATATAATGGTGTCCAGAGTAATGTACCCTTTTCTACGCCCTTGGGGCCTTAGTCCCAGGACTGGCTTTTTATCCCCCACCCTGCAATGTTCTTGTTTTGCATAGTGAAAACTTCCTGTCTGGTTTGAAGAGGGCACTGGATGTGAGTGTCCTGCTTCATTGCCAGAGGGGCTGTGTGTGGTTTGTTCTCTGAATCTGCATAATCTGCTAGTTTGTTGCTGAAAAAGTAGATATACACGAGGGAGGCTTGCTAAGAAACCTCCAATGACAAACGCTCAGAAGATGGACACAGCTTCCTGACATGAAAGCACCTCTGCTGCAGTACAGTTTATACCAAGTTTTCCTCCAGGAAGCAAACTACGCCAGAAAAATGCTTTTATACTAATGCTGGTGACTTCACATGAGACTTTAGCTGTTGTTTAGGGCTGGGGAGGAATCATAATCCCATTTAGCCAAATGGTCTAATGCAGCTCTGCCTCCATTTTGGGAATGTACTCAGCTCCTGCTGCTTTTTTTTTTTTTATCTTGCTCTTCCCCTCACACCTCCTTCTGAAGACAAATATTTGGCTAATTCATGGACTTTGCAGGTAGTTTTAACTGCGGTGTTGGGAATTTGCCATTCCAGACAGCGATGCTAGGGGTCCTGCTTCCTCTGGGGTCCTGCACAATTTATTTCCAAAACAGGCAATAAAATGCGTATCTGTAAAATATGTATCTATAGGTGGGTGTTGCAGGAAGCACGGCCGAAAGCACGACAGACACCAGTGTGGTCAGATCATCTTATTGCCCGAATAGCCTAACTTTTATAGTGAATTTAACAGGGGTGGACAGTGTCTCACACAAGATTACTGGTCAAAAGCACTCAGACAAACAACTGCAAGAAAACAACCCCACCTGCAAGAAAACAACCCCCTTGTGATTAGCAGTCACATAGACCTTGTCCTTGAAGCCAGCTGCTGGTAACAATATTTTTCTGAATTCCTCAATTGGGCGATGTGGGAACACTCATGGGAACTTCTCATAGCTGCCCTGGTAGCTTGGTTTGCTCAGCTACAGCAAGCCGTGGGATCTTTGCTGTTTCAAAAATCCCTCAACAGGTGGGTGTCATGGGCAACACAAATCTGAGAATAGGACATGAATATATATATTTATAAATATATATTCAAAAGTAGGTGCAAAATTCTCCCTGGCTCCCTAGGAGCCATGCCAAGGATGTATTGAGTATTTCAGAGTGAGTTGAATGTGCTCATTTAAAGGAAAATAGTAAAATGAGACAGAGTCGTTACTAAATAGGCTACAAGTTTAACATTTGTTGTACAATTTTTAACTTAATTGCTTTCTAACTTAATTACAAAGTTGGCTTCATCTATGGCAGAATGAAATTATACATTATTTAGTGATACAATGTCAGCTGTGAAATTTACAGAAAACTACTTAAGCTTTTGCAGTGTTTTGATTTTTTTTCCCCTAAACATTTTTATATTAGCACTGATCAACAACAGATAGTTTTTAGTTGAAAATGCTGAGTCTTTTCCAAAGACTTTTGAAGTTAAGGGTAGCTCCCTTACGGTCCCAGCCCTGCGACTGGATTCACAAGGCAGGTTTTATGCCAGTATGGATCGTGTTGGTTGCTGGGCTCGGATTCCAGGACCTTTGGCCCCAGTCCTTACAGACTTTCCTGTTGGTGTACTGACTGCTGTTTAGTGCTCTGAACTTTAAGACACTTGGCTCCTTTGAAGTGTTTAGGTGCCTGAATGCCACCTGTAGAAATGTCTCTGCTCTAATGAGTAGCTGTGTTGTGAGGAGTCGTGTCTCCTGTCCAGATCTGATGACCTTGACTGTGGATCGGGAGGCTCTGGCGAACTGGTGTGACTGCATGGCTGTGGGAAGAGGCCTGGGGCGTGCTTGGATGGCACCTGGTTAAACAGCCACGCTGACGGCAGGGAGGTGTTTGACAGCAGAAGGTGCTCCTAGGTGCAGGGGGTTGTTATTCGCAGCTGCAAGTCCAAAAGCAAACAGCAAGTCAGCGAGTACACACTGAACTCAGCGGCAGGAAGCTCTGTACTCAAGTGCCTATGGGTAAACTCTGGTTTTTGTTTCAAATCCTTTAGAAAGCAGAACATCTGTTTATACCTTTGCATATTTGTATAGCTGTAACGGTGGTTTTATGTGTGTTCTTCTCCTGTATAAGGGCTATTCTACAAAAGCATCCTGTCATTTAAAATAAAATCCTTCCTTTCTTCCCATAATCAAATTACTGTTCAGAGAAGCTCATCCAATTCCTTTTGTCTTGTGGGAAAGTGTCGACGTGATCCCCTCGTTGCAGTAGCACTTGTGTGAAGACGCTGTATTGTGGCACGGCACGTGGTGTTTTTTGGAGCAGTGACTTTGTACATAGGGAATGGGGAGCAATGAACCACGGGTGTGAGTGTCGAGCTGAGGGAATTGTTTATATGCATGTAACCTCCTATTGCCTTCATCACTGGGGCTGTTTTGCTCGTGGAGTCATTTCAGTTGTTCTTTTCATGTTCGTGTCTCTATACCTGCGATGTACGGAAAGGTAGCTTTTGGACTGAGGTTGTGTATGGTGAATACTTGACATTGTTTCTCTTGTGGGTAATAACGTTGTCTTTCGTAGAAGCTTTTAAACTTTTTAAAACTCAGAAGAATGGTTCTCTTAATGGAGTTAGGTTGACTGAAAATGAAGAAAACGAGCCTTGCATGAAGATACCCCTCACCTTCCACTGTCTGCATTCTTGGTTTCATACATTCCATTGTATATAAGGATTTGCATAGTCTTTTTTACTATTATTATTTTTAAAGCTATTGCTATATCTCCCTGACAGCTGCAGGGAAAGAGGAGACATAAGGAATAAAGGGGACTGAGATACAGTCAGACCCAAAGAGTGGAAGATGGAATGCAGTGAAGTGATGCTTATATGGATGATAAGAAATCTGATTGTAAACCTGTGCCAAAAGTGAGGAGGAAATGGGTGAGCAGTCCTTGTGCTGTGTTCTTCCTTCCATCCAAATGTAGCTGAAGGCAGGGAGAGCAACAGGCATTCCAAGAATGTCCCTAGCTGAAAAGCAGAAGGTTCATTTAAAAAAAAAAAAAAAGGTCACTTTTGTCTGTTTATTTTGGTATTTATGATTATCGGAACTGAAAGTACCTGGATGCACCTGGGTGTAGGGACTGTATGAAGGAATTTTGTCCCCTAAATCTGCATCAAACAACAAATGTTACAATTTCTGTTGGTCAGTGTAACGTATGAAAAGCTTTTTATATAACCTCTGTTTTTTAAAGGATGGACTCTTTGGTACTGTTTCACACCTGCCAAATGCATAAATGTCTGAACTACTGTGTACAGAGAAGAAACTGCCCGAAGGAGAATCTTGGAGGACCCTGTTTGCACTGAAAAACCATCCCATTGAAACTGTCGTCTAAAAAGCAAAACCCACGTTTCTTAAAAGCTCTGTACTAAACGAATCCTATGGAAAGCACTTTGTTACTCTTTGTAATAAAAAGTCCTGTCAACAATGAGAACCGAATTCTTTGTGGTTCTTTGTTCAAAGCTGACTCCTTTCAGATCTCCTGGTAGGCCCAGATGAAGCAGGGCAGCATTCAGATACATGCGGAAATAGTTCACTTGCAGCTGCTGGAGAAAGCTGCAGGACAAGAGCTGAACAAACTACCATGTCTCTGCGGGTGAGTGTACAGAAAGTTATGCTGAAAAGCAAAAATAGAACTAGATGTTAACAAATAATGGCAATGTGGTGCAAAGCACTTCTTATTTCCTGGCATATCTCTTAATTTTGCACCCAGTGCAGCCCTTGGAGGAACCAAACGTGGTCAGTGGTGTAAAAAGTAGTGACAATTGCTGTGCCACAAGAAAGTTTGGGAGTCTTCAATTATTTTTTAAATACTTAAAGAACAACACGTGGTCCAAAAGAAATCCACTTTTAACTTCATTCTTTTTTTCTTCTGCAGCTCAGAAGGATGCTTGTTCTGCCAAGTCCAACAGGCACTCCAGTGTGTTTGTGCTGCTCAGGATGCACAGCGAGTTAAGTACTAGAGGTTTTCTAAAAGTAGCAAAGTTTAATTTTAGTCCTTCAAACTCATATTAGCGGTCATGCATAAAATAAGTTAGACTCATTGCTGGAATAAATTCAGGCCTTCAGCTTTTTTATTTCCAAAGAATTATCTCGGTCAGCCCTATTATTGGGCATACGCAACTTCACCAACCCGGCTTTGACTGGCTGCCGAATGTGCTGTAGAAGTGGCAGAGAGGGGATTTCAGTATTCTGTTTGATTCATTTCATCCTGAGCTTTAGGTTGGGCCTTGGGAGCTTATTTCTGAGCCTCTCCACCCTGCCAGAACTGACACTTTCATCCCCTTCCTACTTTTGTTATTTCACTCTGTAGTAGGGTTACTCACAAGAACAGCCCCTCTGTGTGCCAAGGGTTTGGGCTTTTTTCCATCACTCAGTCTCCTTCAAAGTTACCTAGACAGTACTTTTATTTTCAGCTGGATATTTTGTTTGTTTTACCAGGCACCTGCTTAACAGGAAATTGAAGAAAGGATTTTAAAACTATGCATGCGTCAGGTAATCTTTTTTTCTTTTTTTTTTTTTTTCCTTTTTCTGAGCTGTGCTTATTTGTCATTTTAGACAATGGTTTCCAAACTCTGGCTTGCTGTTGCCAAAGGTTCAAAGGAGTGTTGCAGATTCACAGGGCAAAGAGCTGTTGGCAGATCGACTCGTGGAATCTGAGAACAGACGGGTCAAGCAGCATGTGGGGATGTTTCAAGCTGGCACAGGCAGGGAGAGTGCAAACTTCCCTTAACACCTGCCAGCAGCTCAGTTTCTTCTTTCTTCAGATAGTGCTCCCAATTGCATGCACAATTATCAATGTTTCTTCTGCACTTGCTGTGAAGAAACTGAGCTTTCATCAGCTCTGCTTTACACAGAGAAACAAAAGGGGAATAGAACAGTGTTCTCAGTTGTGTGTAAGCTTGCAGTGGTTCAAAATTTCCCTCTTTTACCACCCAGGTAATGTTCTTATGTCACGTGTAGTCTGATGATTTTACCTAGCCTATATGTCGTTTCCCAGAATGATGGAAGTGAAGCAGCTGAGATCGTATGTCCTTTTTCCCCAAAGAAAACTCCCTTCCACCCTCAGATGGGACGGGGATGTGACTGGATAATGCCCTTGTGATGACAGGAGATGCTTTTGATGCGGCCTCAGAGGAATCAGCTCCTTCATAGGGTAGGGAAGTTTACCACAGTGCCAGGAGAAAACATCTTAGCAGGCCCCATACATCACTGAAGCAGCAGCAGGAGTTAAGTGGCGAAGAAGGAGAAAGACTGCGTCACAGCAGTCTAAAGGATTTGAAAAGATGACACTTGATTTTTATGGAGTATGGTGTCTCGGTTTTATGACCATTAGATGTAAATTAATTAAGCCAAATTGTTTCTTGGCTTGTCCTGCCATCACCTTATGCCTGGAGTGAACATTGCTTGCAGCAAATGTTTCTGCTTCTGGAACCTGCCTGGGTCTGACCAAGCCTATTTCAGATGCACCATTCACTGCTGATTGCATTTTAAAGCCTTGCAGGGGGAAAGGGCTCATCTTCCTGTCCTCATTTGGCTGAGGGTTTAATATATGTGAGGAGGGAGCCGAAAGAGTCACTGGCAAACTGTTGAGGGCTTCCTCACAGAGGAAGACGCTGCCACTGAAGTGTGGATGAAGAAGGTACAAGGTTTGCATGCTGTCCAGAACAGATGGTGGAAAGCAACCATTTCTCTGTCTTAATTCACAAACAAATTACCTATTTTCTAACGCAGTGACATTCTCAAGCTAGCAGTACATCCCAGGTACAATAAGTCTGCAGCAAGGAGATGAATTATTAGGTAAAGAAAATCCCTTGGCAACCAGGATCCCATTCTGTGAAGTGACAGAGGTTAAGAAGTCTCCTCGACTTGAATGAGGTTTGAGTTTTTCAGCGCTTTGCCTTGTCAATTACTCATTTCAAAAATTTCACCTGGTTATCCTTCTAAATCATTTTTTCACTCCTGTTCTTTCTCAAAGCTGTCTTGAAAGCTGCTCCTCCCTTGGTGGCTGTTACCAGTGGGGTGACGCTTGCTGGTGCACACAGGACGGCAGGTCACAGGCAGAGGCTGGCAGGTCTTTAGCACGACCTGGCCGGTGCCACAAAGCCTAGCAGCAGGTCTGCAGCGTTCCCCTTGCTGTCCCTTTCTACACTGATGCACCTCGTTAGGTGCTCCGCAGGAGCTGACACCAGCTGATACAGAATTTCCTCGGGCACTGCGGCTCTCTGAGCTCAGGCTTTCTGCTGCTAAAGCCGCTCAGCCTCTCTCCAAGCAGCTGAGCCCTGGATAACCATCCTTTGCTTCTCGTTGGAGTGGAAATGTATTCCGGCAGGCAGCGTGCGTGTCCTCACCCTAACAAGATTAGCAAAAGCATGAGGATGCAGTTTCTCTGAGAGAACAAATATTTCTTGGCCTTTAAGCTTATTTCCTGAAGTCTCTCTGTGAATCTTGCTGTTGCAGAGAGGAAAAAAGATAAAAATGGTCTTGAGCCTACTGCCCATTTGTGATGCTTACTCAGATAAGAGAACCCAGTGCATGCAAGTATTGGACTTTTTTTTTTTTCACATTTTTTTTCATAGTTTCTTCATTCCATCTGTGATAAGAAAGATAAGAAACTGTTTGCCTAAGATCTGTAAGCAAGGGAGCTAACTTGGCTTTTCTCAGTTAACAAGTTCATATCCCAAGGTCTGCAGCAGGTAAATTGCAGGTAACAACTTTGGTTTTTAGCTTTCCTTCAGAATCTCTCTTTGTTTTTGTTTTGCTGGTGTTATTCTAATGCATTGGGATGCAATCTTGGGATCTAGCTTTCTCTTGTAAAATGTTCTGGGGAGTCTGCTCCTTGCTGTGTGGATGCCTCAGTGGAGACAGGACTTCTAGACAATTTAGTTTTGACCCTGCACCTGGTGTGGGTTGTGTCATTGCTGACACCTGCCTGTCTGTCCAGCTGGGCTTTACCAGCTCAGGGGATTTGTTACATTTTAAAAAATATATATATAATTCAATGCATTTTTTTTAATCCTCCACTTACATTTCAAGATCGGTAGCACAGCTCTTTTCTGATGCTGCCCATCTCCCATCTTTTCTGAAAGCTTCCCTATTTTTTCCCCTTCAAATCCCAGTGCAATACAGATTATAGAGGGGAAAAAAAGCATAGCAATTTCCAGATGTCCCAGAGAGAAGGCAGTCACTACCCCTACAGTGGCAGCACAGACTTTCTCCTTTCTTAGTGCTTCCGATATCTCCTGGGGAAACTCAAAACCCATTTAACTCGGCTTCGTGAGAGCTGCTTTGAAGGCTGGCGTGTTTTGTGACAGAGGTCACCCATGTCTCCAGTGACCTTAAGGAGGTGTCACACGCTGCCTCTCTCCTGTGCCAGTGCTGGGGCAAGGATAATTTTGGCTCTATACAGGAGTGTCAAGCCTTTGCTTAGATTTCTGATGGGTGGTTTAGGAGGAATCCTTTGCCAAGTGCATAGTTACGTGCAGTGCAGCAGAACAGACCTTGAACCTAAATAAATTGCAGGTAGGCTTCTGCCTTCCTCCTTTCAGGCTTTTTATAAGGAATATGTAGAACAGTTTCTTGCTCAAATGAAGAAATAGCATTTTACTATTATTGTATAAAAGGAAAACACAATGAGCCCTTAAATAACACTTCTTGCTCCACCTCCCATGACCTCCTGGGGTTTCCATATGTCTTACAGTTGCCTGGAGAGCTGTGCTACTGCCGGCTTCACAGTGGCGGCTGTGTCTCAGCAGCTAGCACACGATGCCAGCTGAATGTGCGTGGGTGTCTTTTGTGTGTTTCCGAATCAAAGGAGTTTCAATGCTGAAAAGCATCTTCTCTTGAGGAGAAGAAATGGAGCTTACTGTACCAGAGCTGTGGGCAGGCACAGATCCTGTGGCATTGTTACTGTAAAAAGCGCTGAAGCACTCCCATAAAAAACTCAGCAGTTAATAGTGCCATACGTTGTGATTATTATCTTTGTTCATGTCTTCCTGCTCCAATGATTTTATTAACAGCAGGAATTTGCAAAACCATCCTAGCATTGCAGTTCACAGATGTGTAATATCTGCTGCCTTCCTGTCTGGACAATGAGCTGTCACAAGTGAAAAAAAATTACTGGAGCTTGGATTTGTTGCTTTTAGGATAGTCCTCTTCCTATGCTGCTAGTAATAACATACAGATGAATGGTAACTACTCATGTGGTTTAGAAGATTGGCAGTGTGTAAAACCCAGTTTGAAATGACTTTACAAAGGCTTTTTTAAAAGATACTACATACACTACCTTAGTTTTTGTAGGATCTCATTTCTTGAAACACAGCTCCTTCATGTTATGTACCTGGAAAGAAACTCCTCCTTCCCTGACCGGCCCAGCTGAAAGCACGGTGCTGTGCACTTCGTTCCTTACCACAGGCACATGGAACCGTTCTTGGGAAGCATCTTGCAAATACAAAGAAAAAAAAGCTGAGGTGAGGATGCAATGAATTGTTGACTGTCTGTAAGGACCACAGCCTAAGATGCTCAGCAACGAAAGGCCAACAGCAACTCACACGAGCGTGCTGTTTGTCAGCTCAGAACAAAGCCAGCTGTAGATGATGTAAAATAGGACTGGGAATGGTGATTGAGTTCTGGATGGCCTGAAGAGCCAGCCACTGCATAACTCAGTTTGGCAGTTTTTAGTTTGTGTATACAGTATACAAGCTGTGCTGTGTACAGGCTCTCAAATGGTCGCCAGCTCTTCTCAGCAGTGTACAGCTTGGATATGCGTGAGCAAACCTGTGAATTGGTCCTGTTACCCTGAGAAGTCTTCTGTAGTGCCTCTCGCCGTCAGGCCAGCCACTGTTTTCTCCCCAGAATGAAGAACTTCAGAGCATTTTCTAATACTTTAGGACTCTTAAGATACTAACGCACGTTCCAGCTTGGCCTCAGAAAAGCCATCTCTGTTTGTCTCAGAGGGGCTCCCTGCTTGTTTGTGGTAAGCGCAGAGCAGGAAACAAGCTCTGCAGCAGCATTAGCTTGTGCTGGATGCTGAGTGCCATAAAAGGCATTTAAATTATGTATGTGCCTCCTGGCCTGCCTTTGAGTTTATCTTCAGCAAGCTCAGCTGATTTGAGCCTGATGCTATCATAATGGGGCTTTGATACTTTCATATGTGTCTTCTCCTTTAACAAGACAGAAATAGCTTTAAACATTTTCCTGTATTTGGCTTTTCCAGGAAGCTTAGCACACTTGTATCTATTGCTTGCATTTCCTATTTTGCCTTTTCAACAGTGAAATTGTTGAAATGATTGCCTGAAGCCCAGACTCCTTGGAGTTAGCAGGAAGTTGCTGAGATTTCCCAGGCATGTGCTTTATGCTTTATTTCCAAACCAGAAAACTTTCTCTTAATCGCAAGAATTTATTTCTTAGAGGCATGCATTTTTGATAACTGATTTTACAGCCAGGAAAAACGTGGCAGATCTGAGCTACCTGTAAATCGGTAAAGTATGGACACAGTTGGAAAAACAAGGTAATAACTCAGACTGACACAAGGGAAACAAAGAAAAGCTGTCAGAGTGGAAGTTTTATAGGTGAATTCCTCATAGTGAGGTTGGTGCACCTATCTTGTTTATATTTGCAGTAGTGATGGCAGCACGAGAATTAGGCGTATAGTAAACTTACAGAAGCAATAGTATCAGAAGGTTGCACAAGAACACCCTGGCTAAGGCCTGAAGTTCTTTTAAAAAAGGGGAGAGGGGTAATTTCATAGTGTGATGGGGAAGAGCATATGGTTAAGAAGGCACTCTCAAAGCTCCTCTGTTGAAAGTGACAAAGGAGGGATAGCAGGGGTTTTGGCTGAACACAAGATGAGGAGGAGCCAAGAGTAAGATACAGCTGTCAGAAAATGTTTTCCTGGATATTTTGGTCAGTATATTTTTACTAGAGTCATGTAACAACTCATAACATCACACTGATTTTTTTTAATGTATAAAAATAATAACAAACTCAGTCTGGTACAGAAGAGATTTCGTGGAAATGAAGCTTTTATGGAAGCTGGCTTATCAAGGTAGAATGAAGTCATAAGGCAAAGCACAAGGGTAAATAGGTAAAAACTGTCTGATAGTAGCGTTAGCCTGGATGTTAGTAACAGCTTTTAGACACTGATTTGAGTAAGATTCTGATGCAGCAGAATCAATGACAACGAGCACTGTAAATAGCTTTAGGATAAAACCTGGTTGTTTCCAGAAGCGATGCTGTGGGATGGTTACCTGCAAGACAGGGAGCAGGTCTCACCCGGCTCCCTTGCACAGCCACGATGAAAAGCTGAGCTGAGTTTAGCACCTGCCCTTTCAGAGACGTCAGCACATGGTGGGCACGTTAAGTGGTCTTCAAAGATCCTGTTTTCACTCGTTTCCTCTGTTCTGCTTGCCAGCGCTTTGCAGCGCTGTGTGTCACACAAAGAGCTTATCTAACCTCATCTTTGCTCTGACTGGCTTATTTTACGTTTTCAAGGTAACACAGTTTATAATTTAATACCAATCTGTGTTTCCTTTCTGTTCATCTGTTTTCTTAGTACAAAGATATTGACCTACTAGCTTGGAGGCAGGGAAAGAAAGGGTGATTTTATTTCCTATTGAACAACCAAACTGATATGATCTGTGTTTGCATCGTTAGATTGGAAGAAAGAAAGGAGTTCAACCATTAGGCTCTTAAGTCAAGTTATTGCTAAATTCTGCTTGCTTGCTCCTGCTTTGCTCAATAAACTGTAAATCGTAGCAACGTGCCCCCAGCATCCTAGCTTGGACGTTCAATTACTTGTGGCCATAAAAGCCGATAATCTCCTGGTCAATGATGCAAGCAACACTTCCCATTTCAGTTAACTGAAATTGCTCAACAATTACAGCACCTTCCTCCCCTTTCACGTGCAGCCCACAGACCTCTGGGCAGAAGCAGCCTTTCACAAGAGCCACAGCACGAGGGAAATCTTTCTGGCGCTTGTTAACAATTCCAATCTAATCCCACTCACCAGGAAAACCACAACTGTTACCGCCTCGGGGCTTCTGCAGTTGGACCAAGTAACTCCAATGCAGTTCCTCATCAGTAAATGTGTAATCTGCAAAGCAACTGTTGCAGGTGGTGTTAGCTGATGTACTTCATTGCCTAGTGAGCAAAGAAATGCAGGATTAGGAAAACACAGAGTCCGAATTCAGCTTTAAAAGGCAGGATGGCCCAAAGACTAGAGGTAAAGCCTTTTTTATTTTTGGATAGCCCATCAAGTAACACTAATTAATTCCTCCTTACCTTTGCTGAAAGAGGAAGGCTTGACTCTACCTCGCCTTTGTAAAGGTGGAAGGAAGAGGGGCGGAAGTAAGATGGATCATTTAAGGAAATCTCAGAGTTAAATGGGATGGCATTCTGAGACCAGTGAGTTTTTACTGCTTCAACCTGCATGTAAAAGCTTTCCATCTCTGTGACATGCCTTTCAGAGCACAGGGTCCTCTGGCAATCGCAGTGCAGGAGGGTACTCCAAGCTTGTTGGTAGGCAAGGTTAAAACATTTATGTATGCTCTCTTTAAAAACACATATATACCTTGCTTGTGGCTGAAGAGAACATGCAGAAAAGATGTGATTTAAGAAACTCCTCTGAATAACTTATTAAACATGATACTGTGTCAACATGGGCAATGTTACTGCAGGGCCATTAGTTGTCTTCCACATGGCACTGAGTCCACCATCCCAGAGCCCTGATGATGAAGGCAGCATGTATTATTTACTTTCCCTTAGTGCCTACAAACCTCTCTGCATCTGGTGCTGTAAAAGCCAGTTGTAAGAAGTCATATCAGTTTCAAAAGGCTGATGGCTAAGGAAACGAAAAAAGACAAAGGATTGAAAAACATATTTTTCTTGTGGAGATGCGGAATGGCAATCAGTGGGGGTTGAGATTTATCTGAGATCTCAGAGAAGTCTACAGGAGAGCTGGGAATGGAGCATGGTTCTCCGAGTCCCACTTCACTCCTTCAGCTCAATGGTCTGTGAACCCTCAACATGCTAGTTTCCCACTCCTGTATTTTTGCTGGAGAGCCACGCTTCAGGAGCTCGTTTCAGAATCTGTGAAAATGTAGGTGACCAGCCTGAACTCAGCCCAGTAGCAAATTATAGGTCCTAGTTCCAGTAAGAGGAATGAAGAGGAATGATATTGAAGAATTTTAGTGCACTAATGGAAAAATGGTTATGCTGTGCATGAGAGCCTCATTCAGAGATACAGCTCTGGCTCAGGAAACAGGCTGGGATTTCAAGATCTGCTACTGGGCAAAGTTATAAACACTCAAAGTATCAGCAAGTGAGATTTGACTGAAATAACTGCAGAAATGGCACCTGAGGGTGATGTGGTAGAAAGCAAAAAGAAACCTGACAAAGCCAGTCATCTTTTCTACCTGGTGCAATACAGCAGGGGTTCGTTGGCCGCAGCTCGGTGCTTCAGAAAAAGTCATCACAACAGCGGCAGCAGCACTGTGAGCTGTTCTGTGGCATCTTCTCAGGGGCTCTGATGGAGATGGCCCAGAGAGTGTCCTGGGAGCTGGAGGTCCTCACCTCGCTTCACCACCTGATCATGTAAACACGGAACTGGTCGACGTCCCCTTTGTGGATCTAACATACCTGCCGTCAGCGCTGCCTCCACACGAATGGTATGAGCGAGGCAGCCTACCGAGTATGGCTGGAAGGATTTCTTTTTGTCTTCAAAATGAATCAGATACGAAAAAATCAAACACATTCTCTAATTTGCATTTTTATGGCTGTTTTGAAATGAGGCACAATCTTGCTTTGACTGTGTAGGTCGGTACATATGTACCGATGACACTTTTTCACTCTGAAAAATGTCACCTTTATAACAGAATACTTATTTTCTTAGTGTTACCTATTTACTAACTGGAAAAGGTGTTATAACAAGTAATTCTTGCTCCATTGGAAAACCTTTAGCTCCTGAAAAGCCACTCATAAAAATCCTAGGCATAACTAACACTGTGTTTGCCCTAGCCCCGCTTCTACAAGGGTGTGTTTTCCCTGAAATACACCAGACCCTTCTCCACAGAGACTTTGTTGCTAGGTGATCTGCCCCGAGATAAATCAGTGCTGCTGGGAGGGAGGCACTGTATTGTTTAAAGCCACGGCATTTCGCTGATGGAGCACTCGTGTCAGTCACCCGCTGCCATTAGTGCCTAACCGCCCGTCTTTATAATCCTGCAGGTGAAGGAGGAAGAGAAAAAGCAAAGAGCCCCACGACTGCTTCAGTCTGACCCAGATACGCACAAGGATTCCCCTCCACACCTCTTAAAACTCAAAAAGGATTCCCCTTTTACCTTTCAGTAAGTTCTCCAGCTAATCTAACCTCCGTGCTGCAAGTCTGCCGTCTACTTATACAAAAACATTTGCAGAACAATCCTTTTTCCATTCTGGATCCTGGGTGTTGCTCGCTTTCTGTAGAAGGGCTAGGAAGGTGCACAGTGCGAGATGTCAGCAGAAGCCTCGTGTTGCCTCTTCTGATAGGATCTGCCTTAAGCAACGTGCTCTAGACTGAGAAGGAAACCAAACCAGTTTGTGCCAGTGGCTGCTGCAGCAGTTCTGGGCTGACACCAAGCCCACCAGAAACCCCAAAGTAACTACTGTAAGCCAGAGGAGAAAACTTCTATATATACGTGTGTGTATTTATGCCACTTCATTGCATCTTTTAGGAAGAGAGCTATTCCTGTACCTAGGTAGCTCATAACAGGAGACTGAAACTAACTGTGCAGAGCTAACAGAGCTGCAATTTGAAATCACGACTGAGGATGATTTGAAATCAGGACTGTGGATGAAGGCATACAATTTAAAACACACTGCATCCAAATGCATAGATGTTCTATTACCACCACAATGGGGTTTTTAAGAAACCGTAGCAAAGCGCAGACAACCTGTCTCACCCGTCACACTGTTCTTTCTCTTTCACTATTCAAGTGTGTAGGAGCCCCTCTACTGGACCAGAATCCTACTGCACTATCCGGACATAACCAAAAGGCAGGCCTGACCTCAGGTGTAGCTGTTTTGCTTTGTTTGCCTCCTAACAATGCTTTAAAATGTCACGTAGGAGACTACAAAAGTGTCACTGCATTAAACCGCTGTGCCCCAGTCCAACAGAGGCAGCTTTGGCCTCTCTGTGCACCTCCAAAGAGGCTGTTTCATGAGCTAGCGCAGCCCCTGAAGGAACAGAGACCTTTGCACTGCTTGCTTGCTCTTTAAAGATGTGATGTTTTTAGTGTGGATGTAATTTGGAAAGGTTGAGTGCTGTAACACTTCGGCTGTAAGCACTGAGGTGGAACTGGAGTAGTTGCCAGTGTGTTGTGTGACCCCAAGTTCTGCAAAGGAGTTGTCATCAATAGTGTTAGTAGGAAAAGTACCCTGGGATCATTGCCTCACACTTAAAAGGAAATGGCAGCCCCCATTTTTACACATTCCAGCTCTAATGGCAGGTTCAGAAAGGCATCAGTTATACTCAAAGGATGTTTTCTTGCTCTTAATTAGGGAGGTGATGAATTGTAAGTGACACTACGCTTCCCGTTTTTACCTTGGGGAATTAGCAGAATGAATAACTGTTCTGGGGTCTAATATGTGAAGCCTGAAATCTCGTATTGTCAAAGATGTAATATTTAGCATTCTTCTACATTCATTTCTTCCCAGACCATCTGTTATAAGAGCATTATTCCAGTGTCAAACTGGTCACTTCCCCTAGAGATCTCATTTTACATGCCAGGGTAAATTTAAGACGCTAGTGTCCCCGGTACACCGAGCCGATCGTCGTGTGGTTTGTAAGTTCTGGCTCTGCTCTTTGTTTTCCAACTCCCAAATATAATAAACTATCCCCTTTGTTATTCTCAGAACAGGTTAAATACGGGGCAATCCCATTCCACTGAGGATGCTCTCCACCCTTGAAACTTATTTTTTTTAAAACATTTAATGCCAGTTCCTAACTGCATCCAAGTAAGAGCTGGAGAAACGTTCCTATTTTAATCAAGGACACTGTGTCGAGGTCCTTCAGGTTCACCCTGTAACCTTCCCACAGATAAAACCACAGTGAAGAACAGAATAAAATTAGCATTCATATTTAGAGCACAGGAAAGCAAACTGGTTTGACAGAAGCAGATTGCAGGTGAGTGGGGACAGTGCTTGCTCCTATCTCTCCCTGGTCTTCTCAGTTGCTGCCCCTTCTTGCTAAAGCACACATGTGGCTGGGTTTTGTGCTGCTTCTCTGAAAGGTTTCAGATTAATGAGCAGCTGGAGATGACAACAATTTAACACAGATTTATGACAGCTAGAATGGTTTGACTGGCTGTGCTCTCACATTTCTGATCGGCTCCCAAAATTGGGGCTGTAGTCAAATGTCCTGAGGAAATTCTAAAGATCTTAACACTGGTGGGTTGGCCTTTTATATCCTTTACAAAAAATAAACATAAAAGATACAGTGGTGAAGAACTATTTGTAATAAGGGATACAATTGCAGCAATAAATAAAACCTGATGCAGAAGTGCAAGAGGAATTTGATTTGAAACGGGTATTTCTAAAAATAGGGTCAAATCCTGCTAAAATTCCTTCCTAAAAATGAACAGGCTTACTTCACTTTGGTACCTGAAGTGCTGATTGAATGTGACCTCTTTCCTCCTGGTCCTTAAAACTTCCTCTGTTTTCCATTTTCCTTCCAAAACAGTTGCCAAGGTATCGGGAAGACAGGAATAGCCACAAAATAAATGGGGAGTTGATGGCTTAAGTGATGCCTGACTCCTTCCTAACAAAGCCAGCCTAAGAGAGTGCCCGAGATGTGCTGGGAATCCACTTGGCTGTAGTCAGTACGAGGGCCTTATAAAGCATTCTCCCTCGAGATTCTTTAAAACCATGGTTTTTCTTAAAGCCATTAAGACATAGAAAGAACAAATGACTAAAGAATCTTATCTTGGCATGAAAATGTGCAGTGGGCAGAGTGCCAAGATAAAAAAAAAAAAAAATCGATATGAATTCCTTTAATGAATATTCTGTGTCTGAGCAGCTGTGCACTGTGGCAAGGCAGCTTAATGTTGCTAAGAATATGGCCGCGATAAAGGCGCCATATAATTTGCTGTAAAATGGGTGTCCGTATTAGCGTCCTGACTGTGCATTGCACTTTAAAAGCATGGCAGCTTCTTGACATACCCCCTGCAACTTATCGTTAGGCACGGAAGGAACCTGTAGGAAGGTATAGTCAAAGAGATGCTGGTCTGGTCCAAAGACTACAAAGCTGACTCCTACCCCACCAGGTCACCAGGAAAACATCGTACCCTCTGACACCACGCCTTGGCTTGGCCATTTTCCCTTTTCTATTTTTTCCAACCAATTCCTAGACATTTCTCTCCCCAGTTTGGTGGCCCATATTTCACAGTCCAGGGGACTCTATTAGAACAGGTCTCCAATTGCTATGAAGAAATTTATGATCGCCTGTCAGGTTTGACTACTGCAACATTTTTCTTTGGAATAGGAGCAGCATAGGCCTCACCAAAACACCACTTCTGTGGAAAACAGCATCATGAAGCATCATATATTCCAATAATCCTTTCTGAAACCTGTATCATATTTCTCTTGAGTCACTTTGATATGCGTCACCTTCTGTAATTCATTTCTGATTGGCTTTATTTCTCCTTCACACTCATTCTCACATCCTCTATGCAATCACTGTAATGCACCTTTCAAGGCTGACCTCACATTTTCAGGAAAAAAAAAAATCAGAGCTCGGTTGGCATTAATTTATTATATTCCTCCCACCTTCCACTGCTCATTGCTGTTGTAGCAATTGCCTCCTCTTGGTCCCAGCATCTGTTCAGCACTGCTGATAGATAGCTGACTTGGCAACTAATTAACTCTTTCACTGCTAATATACCACTTGTGGCTTCATTAAATTAAAGGTGCAACCCACAACCGGAGGCACAAGGCAGACCTCAAAAACTCCCTTTGTCAGCACAGCTGGCCCCTTAATTATGTTTTTCAAATCACAGCAAACAATAGCAGAGTGCTATTTCTCTACTGGACCTGTCTTCCTTCATCCTTAGCTGTAAGCTCACCCAGACAGCTTCTGTACGAAAGTGTTTATTCTAAAAGGATTTGCCTCCTTCAGCAGTATCCGTATGGTACATTTTTACAGCGTACGCCCTCCCTCATGAAGAGCTGCAGTGATCACATAGGTGAGATTAGCTTGTTTGGACTGTACATTAAATATACCTTTGCTTGTTACACGGAAGGTAGGTGCAACCTCAGGGCAATGTTGCGGGCAGAAACTCTCTTTTTGGTTGTACCTTCATCAGCAGTAAGAAGAGTACAGCAACTTATGAGAAAGGTGACTGAATGGCACTTGAACAGCCTACCTCAGAGACCAAGGAAGAAGCAGAAGAGAGGTCTCTGGCTGTATTTGCTGTCTTGAGGTTTAAATTGAGAAGAAACCAAAGGCTTTTCAAGAATGCAGTGCTCTGGGTATCAGTCTGGCACCCCTTGGGTTTAATATGTTTATGGAAGATCAATGAGATGATGCAGGGTTTGGCACTAAGTGTCCCTGGTACATTGGCACGTTTGTCTTACCCAGCCGAAAGAGCAAGAGCCCGTCTGGTCTGAGCTGGGATGGGTGCTGGTGGGCTGGGCTGGTGGACCAGACGAAGTAGGAATCCAGCTCTTCTCACTTATGGACAACGTCCAGTGTCAGTGGGATCTTTAGTAATCGGCGATTGCAGCCTCCTCGCTGCTGTGGCAGCGTACGCGCTAGTAATGCTATTTGCCTTTTCTCATCAGCAGACTTAAAAGAGGGCAACAATTTCTTGTGGTTACAGGTCACTATTTTTTTGTTGTTGTTGGGTTTTGTTTGTTTGCTTTGGCTGATCATAATTTTTGTATTTTATGTTCACTTAGCATGATGTGTTCTGCTGTGGTGCTACAATGTGGAGCCAGACAGACTGAAGGTGGTGAGGAGAAAGTGAGGTATCTTGCTAGATCGAATGGTACCAGTGCTTCAGGTATGTTTGACAGCCACTCGGTTGGTATCTGAATGACATTCACTGTGTTCACTCTTAGTAATTCAAGGGAAACCTTTTTCTCTTTTGTATTGTGATGCCCATAGCCAACAGGAGCCTTGAGATGAATTCCTCTCCTCAGAAGTGTGATTGCTGGCAATGCATTTTCATACCGGCCTTTGGAAACCTGTAGTATTTTTTGTTTTAAATCCATACTGCCGTCAGCTCTTCTGGTCTTCCATGACCACGGGAAACGAGTTAATAAGAAAAGTGCAGAAGAGTTTTAAAGTCACTGGCTAGAAGAGCTTTTCCTGAAAATTAAACTGGCAGTCTTACAGTGAGCACAGCCCTGTATCTAACCCAATAAATAACCGGATAAACCTCAGTGAGACAAATAGAGGCAGCCTGTGGTAGGTACTGGCTTTTACATGGTCATCTAATATTTTTTTGTTAATGGCATACCCAACTGGGAGAAGTTAGGGCTGAGGCAGGTCGGTGATGTTTCCATGACTGAAATTACAGAAGTGGATGTTTTGGGGGGAGGGGGAAGGGGGTGGTGATTTTTGCTGTTGTTTGGTTACATTTTTGTTTTTGATGCATTTGTTATATTGACACACTGTGTGCACACTGTAGTGACCGTGTGCCAAAGTGCAGGATTTCACAGGATTTCACAGCCTGTTATATTTCTCTTCACGCCAAAATGAAAACAGGAGGAAAGGAATAAGGGTCGCACTTGTGGTGTGTGACGGCGCAGCTGGCCGTGAGGCGTCGCCTGCGACAGGGGCACACCTTTTGGGGACGAGCCGCCTCCTTCCACAGGTGACAGCGCCTCTCCCCCTCCCCTTTTTGGTGCAAAACCAGCACTTTTCGGGGCCCGCCGGGGGGCGGGACGGTGCCGCCGAGGGCGGTGCCAACGCGGGGCGGGCGGTGCAGGCCTCTGCGCAGCCGGCACGGCGCTTCCGCCCGCCTCCTCCTCCTCCTCTCCTTCCTCCCTTTCCTCCTCCTCCTCTTCCTCCACCTCCTCCTCCTCCTCCTCCTCCTCCTCCTCCTCGCCGCCCCCAGCCCGCCCCTTTGTTCCTTCCCCGCCGCCCTGCCGGCGCGGCCGCTGGGGCTGTTTGAATCGGCGCCGGCGGCCCGCAGGGAGGAGGAGGAGGAAGAGGAGGAGGAGGAGGAGGAAGAGGAGGAAGATCCCAGGATGCGATGGGGAACTGCTGGGCGCGGTGGTGCTGCGGGCCGCTCCTGCGGAGGGAAGCGAGCCGGCTCCAGCGAGGCGGAGGGTAAGCGGGCAGCGCCGCTCCCC